TTTGTTAGGAGACAGTGTCTACTGTAGTGGTAGTGTGTCTTTGGACCCCAGGGGATTATGGTTTATATGGTTGTTATGCTTTATGCTACCATTTTTTTTTTTTACAGAAATTACTTTTATTAGTTATAAATCTTTAGAATAGTTAATTCATTTAATTTTTCAGACACACGTTATACTAACATTCACTATAAGATTTCTGATCTTGTTTAAGTCAGTACATTTGGACAAATGAGTGTGCCCCCAGCCTCCCAATAGAGTTCATCTGTCTTTAGCAAATCCCTAAAGAAGCAGTAGAACAGAGAGGGGGCAGCATATCCTTAACCGAGGAAAAAGCCTTTAATTAGTAAGTTCAAGAAAAGCACTGGACAGCTATAACTTCTCTAACACATGAGTATCTGACCTGAATAAGGAGTGGTGACTCCTTGTTCAGGTCCTGGGAATAAGTGAGTTCACCACATTATCAAGCCTTCTGAACTAACTATTACACAGTATGCCAGGTTCTTGGTTTAGTTTCTCCAAAAGTTTCAGATAGGGAGGGATATTGCAGAACATTCCATGATCACAATTGTGTAGTAAATGAAATACAAGTAATAAATCTATTATCTGATTTTTGTATCCGATCACAGAACATAGAAAGTGTGGATTGGCATTCGTCACTGCCTCGTGAACAAAGAAACAGTGTGCTGTCCAGTGCCATGCCGTGTCTGTCTGGCCAGTTTAATATCTGTCTGGTTGGTGTTGGGCTTCGGACAGAGTCTTCAGTTTGGTCATATTGTTGGACGCTATGCTTTACACTTTACAGTCTTGATCCATGTCTGCTGGCTTGTAGTGTCACTGGCTGTGTTAGGTATTCCATCACCTCACAGTTCATCTTTGGTGCACGATTCAGTCGACTCAGGAACCTACTCTGTGTTACTATAATGTGTTGAATCAATGGTTGGTTGAAAATGAAGGTCATGCACAAACTAAGTGTGGTTCCTGACCTCAGAATCAATCTGATTCAAACAGAATGAATCAATGAAGTGAAACAAAATGGTGATTCAGTCTGATTATCAGGCTAAGAATGCTTGACCTGGAAAACACTAGCTCATTTAATGAGTATGGAGATGGCCAGATGACTTTGCTTGAACTAGATAAGGTTACTGAATAAGTTTAGAAGTATGCTTTGATGTCTGCAAGTGTTGTATACCGATATGCTAGTTCCGCACCACTAATGCACAACAGTGAGGCTGAGAGTGTGGCCAGGACGGAGTAGCAGGCAGCTCTTTGTTGGAACAGCTGGTAAACTTGAGGGAGTGCGAAAGGTTGGAGACAGGAAGGAGCAGGGGAGGAGTCGGGGTTTTTGGGATGTGGGACTGAAAGATGTAGTTTGAGAAGGGGAAGGAGAGTGGGACAGCCAAACAAAGATGGAAAGAAGAGGGGGGTCTCCCATTGCAATGACTCGTGCTGTACTTCCAGGCTGCCAACAACCAACAGACAACACACGTGCAAACGTTCAGTGAGATAACCACTGCGGCAAAGTGCTTCATCAGACATGAACTTTTGTCTGTCTGATGTTCCGCTAGTCATGAATATTTGTTGGCTTTCTTTGTCTTCTCTGGTGTTCATTGAAAATGTGTGCAATTGCTGCACATCCTGTAATCAAGAAACTCATCAACAGATTAATCTGAATGAAAATAATCATAGTTGTAACCGTAACTCATTCTTTCTTTTTGTGTGAGGGACAGGCTGGGAGGTCATTGCTCCCAACTTATAATGCAAAGTTTTTATGAATGCTTTCCCTCATCATTTTCATCAATATCTTGTAACGTGAGAGCCTGTATCATTGCATCATCTTGGGGTGTATGCGCTGCCAAGATGAGACTTGTGTTTGGTAAATGTGAGATGCTTTGTAATGCTATTTGTGCTCCTGACCTTGCAGAGTCAGTTTCACTGTTTAGCTGAAACTCAGAGGGGCCACCAGCCTGCTGTCTATATTTGTGTTTGTTTTTTCTCATGGATGCTTAAGACAGTAGCCTTTTCTTTGTCTGGGTCAGATGAATCCCTTGCTTTAGTCTCCTCACAACCTACTCTTTTCTCCTGCACCCTGCAGGGAAGGTAGTTTGGCTTGTTGATTCTCACATGAGCAAACGTGTGTCACCCTAGGTGAACATGTTTCTCCTCCACCAGAAGAACATTGATGTTATTATTACTAAGTTGAAAGATGAACTCTCTGCGAAAGCAAAGTAAATGTAGACACCTGACAGCACACATTACAACTATACAGTCTGAACTGCTGCAGGTTTGGAGAGATGTCTTATGAAACACAGCAGGATAGAGAGGACTTTGAGTCCCATTTGAAATACAACAGGCCAGTTCCATGATAATGCATAACCAGTATTTACTTTTCTGGATTCTCGGGTTGATTTTGGGTGACTATAATGCATGCACAGGCCTGGTGAGATGTGACTCCTGCAATAAGCATGTGAAATATTTTGAAAGTATCATACAGAGGGTGATATAAAGAAACTGATAGATACTGAGGCAAAAAGGTGGAGAACCAGATGAGAGCTGTGTTAATGGATGGGTCAATAGCTATTGGCAGCTTCCCCACAGGCAGTAATTCTATACTACATGTCAAGGACAACAGTAGGACATCAGACCGGACACTTTCCACCACCAATATGTATATCAGTTGACCCATTGTTGCAACCATCCAGAGTACTAATACTGTATGCTTCTCTTAAACTGTGTTGGAATTAATGAAAATCAGCTCTTTTCACTTCAGCACATTTGAAATAAGTCTTATATAAAAAAAATTAAAAAAAAAATACCTTACTGACACAATGACAACAAACATTGACGACAATAATTTAAGTTAAGCACTGTTAACATAACATTTAGTGCAGGGCTGTTGCGTCGAAATGCATTACATTGTGCGGTTTCACATGTTAATGTTTGGGAATATTTGACTCCCAAGTGCAAAGTGTTGTTATGGAGCCTGTTAGTGCAGGTGGAGACTGGGTTGGTTGAGGAACTGGAGAGTGGCATGACTTGGACGACTTAGTGACATCTGTTTCATTTGAGCTGAGCTAAACGACTTTGGGGTTGTGACATAATGGGTTGTTTTTTGGGGCAGGAAAAGGAAACAAAAAATGGGGCCAGTAGTTCAAGGGTAATTTGTCCTATGCTCTGAAATTACCCTGAACATTCAAATCAAAATATATCTCAACCTGCATAAAAAGATAAACTTAGTGCACAAGTACATACAGTATGTATGGGTGTACTTGCACATGTGCTAATATGTATGTATGTATTATTATTATTATTGTTATTTCCTAAGGGTAAAAAACTTGTGGTCTGAGTGCCAGTGCTTCTGTAGCCTGCTAGCTGCAAATCACCAGGCTAATCAAAGCTCTGGCAACATTGTGTGAATGGATTACACTATTGACACTAGGTCAGATTAGGTCATATTGACCGTGCTGCATAGTATGGAGGGATTAAAGCATTAGTCCTAAATGTACACAAAGAAAGTAGCAGGGAAGTCATGAGAAGGGAGACTCTGAAGTGCTTAAACGTCCTTGAGCAAGAGGCTGGTTCAAGTTCTAGTCCTGCTCAACAGGGGTGCTGTCTTGCCACTGACCCTGAGGTCGGATCTTCCAATGGAGCATTTCCCACTTGGTATTACTAGTGCAGTATAATAGTTGTAAACATGGTTGTTTGTATTATTGGTACTGAGTATGGTGTTGTTTTTGTTGTTGAAATAGCATGATCTAATTTGTTTCTTCACTTTATTTTTTTGTTCCTTAATAATTTGATAAGATACTAGGCCTACACAGTTATTAAGATCTGATTTGATGTAAAAAAATAAATAAATAAATAAAAAAAAAAGTCTTTGGGATGTGGCACTCCACATTACCATAGTATTAGATAGCTCTGTAGCCAAAACCAAAACAAAGGCTTTAGACCTTGTGTAGCTGACTTGTTGGCTGCAAATGCACAGGGCTCCCCAGCGAGTCCCCAGGGCTCAGCAGATACCATTCTGCGTGCTCCAGGGACATAAATCCTCTTTGCATGGCTGGTGATCAAGCCGTGATGTAAAGGAGCTTAGTAGCAATAGACAGGCAGGCAGGAAGCTGCTTCCCTGTTGGCCAGGGGTCAGGTGATCACGCACAACACCTACAGCGCAGAGAGAGTGATAGCAAGGAAGAGGTGAAAAAACAAAGTGAGAAATTGACATGGATTTGACATTTGGCCACACAAAGTAGTAGACATGAGTCAGAGGTTTTTCAAAAGATGGATCTAATGTAATCTGGGCCTGTTGTAGCTCCGCACCAGGACAGGCTTGCTGTTGGATACTTTGGAAGCACACCGTGCAGATATGGATGTTTACTGACAGCAGCAAGGTTAAGTGCCTTCTTTGAATATTGGGAAGTTGAGAGGGACCAAGGTGAGAGGAATAACTGCTCTAACTATTGCTGCTGGTACTTAAGGCTACAACAAATTATTATTTTCATTATGGATTAATCTGCCAATTATTTTCTGCATTGATTCATCATTTTATCTTTGAAAATGTCAGAAAATAGTGAAATATTCCTGTTAATAGTAATATCCCACAGCCAAAGGAGATATATTCACATTGTTTCAGCAAACAGTCCAAAAACCAAAGATCTTCAGTTTATGATCATATATGCCCAACAAAAGCATAAAATTATCACATTTGAGAAACCAGTGTTTGGCATTTGTGCTTGAGAAAATATTCAATTTATCAAAATAATTACTAATCTACTAATCGACTAATGAAATATAAAGCGCCTAATGTATCCACTCCTCTGGCACTTTGGCTCCATTATACCTCTCTGTCAATCACATTATTGTTGTCTTGATGCTGGAGATCTGGATGTGAACATAGATCAGCCTTGTAGTCAGAGGAAGTTAATGCTCTGATATGGAACGTCTTATTCATGTTAAATGTTTAAGCTTACTCCTCTCTCTGTATCTTTCTTTTCCTCTCTGCACAGGTCACTTTCCTCCTTCCCTTCCCCTCCTCCTCCCCCTTCCACCATTCGCAGCACCGGTTGCCATGGAGAATTCTTCAGTGGCGTCTGCATCGTCTGAGGCTGGGAGCACGCGCTCACAGGAGATAGAAGAGCTGGAACGCTTCATCGACAGCTATGTGCTGGAGTACCAGGTGCAGGGGCTACTGGGAGACAAGGCAGATGGAGACTTGGATTTGGACAATGGTGGCAAGGTGCCACAGGTTAGAGGCTTATTACTTAAAGAAATGACATGTATTCATTAGCCCCATATCTGCTAGAAGCAGTGGTTATGTTTTGGTAGAGGCTCTAGTATTGTCTCTGTTTTGTGTCTTCCATAACACGCTGGAGGGGTACAGCCTGCGTCAAAACATCTGCCCTTATTGTTATAATGTATATGTAAACCTACACAAAGGTGGATTTGCATCCACCTACACTGCCCCTGGATATACAGCTGTCCTGTTTTCTGCATGAGAAAGTCAACACACACTCTGTTTCTGCTGTGACGTAGTTTCTCCTCTGTGCATCTATACATACACAAAATAGCTCAAGATGAGATCAAAGACACAGTACCATTTTGAGTCCATTATAAAAGAAACACTGCAAAGAAGCATGTCTCAAAATATGCTGTGATTTAAGAGTTTTCTGCCCTGCATTTTAGTTTGTTACTTTTACTTAACTTTTGTGTTAGTTTGTGTTCCTTATTTACATATAAAGAACCCTCCCCCCTTTCAAAAATAATAGCATCTAATGCCCCCGTTTCTCTCCTCCAGTGGACGGACGACTGCATCGACAAGAGAGATGGCAGCTGGACGTCTTCACGGGGGAGAGGCTCATCCAAGCCGGTAGGTGTGCCTGTGTGTCTGTCAGGGTTCTGTCCTGTCCTTTACCTTTGACCTCACCTTCACACCTTTTTTCTTTAAATCTTAAATCACTTGCTCCATGTTTCCTTTGCAATCTGTTGCATCCTCCATTTTCTCCTCGCTCGCCTGTCCTTTACAGGAGGAAGATGTGAAATGCCTCTATTTTAAAGATCTCACAGCGCATAAACAGTAATTAAACTGCTGGTCGCTCCATGTTAACAAAATACAGGATGAGGATACAGTGTTCCAATGAAAAACAAAACGATCAATCGTAGCATATTTCAGAATTTGAGAGAGTGATTTTCGTTTGTGTGTTAAGCCTCCAACACAGCCCTGATTCTACTGCCACCTCCGTGTTGCAGTTGTTGTTGTCTTCTTCTGTGCTCATCTAGATTAAAGCGTAGGTTTTCTCCGTTCTCAATTCTGTGTGTGTGTGTGTGTGTCTGTCTGTCTCTGTGTGTGTGTGTTAGTCTTTCCTTTTACATCATCTGTTCAAGTATATGATTAGAAGAAACTGCTTTAAGCGTTTCACAGCTCGTCAGCTTCCTTGTGGTTGTTGAAGACAAAGTATTGTTTTAATGACTAACATGAGATACTGCGAGGCTAGAGCCAGTAACTGAATAATCCTAAATGAATTATCAGTCATATTAGTCTGCTAAATGTGTGTGTGTGTGTGTGTGTGTGTGTGTGTGTGTGTGTGTGTGTGTGTGTGTGTGTGTGTGTGTGAGAGATTTAGAGTATTATTGCTCCTCAGAGATTCATTGGTATGACTCACCAGGAAGACAGTAGTGAGGGAGACACAGCATGGGTGAGACGTTCATAGCGAGCAGGGTGAGGGAGGTTACAGGAGAGACTAGGATTGAAATGTCAGTGTTTATATCAATACGTTAACTTCCCAAGTCCCAGAGATCATGAACCTACCATTTTCAATTTGTTTTGACATTTTGCCTCTGGAAGTATAATGATATGATAGACTTGGCAAAGGAGCCAGAGTTTTGTTTGAACCCTTGTGACATATCTTTTCCTGCGGTATATAGTGAAACTCAGAAACAAGTGCAACAACAATCGGGAACAATTCAGCAATAGCAGAAAAAAATGTGGTGACAAATGCCGCACTAGCCTCCCCTAACAAAAAGGGAGTACCAGCTCCAACAGTCTGTTAGCATAACATTTGGGTTGAAGATAAATGTACCATTATTAAAATCGGCTAAACCTTTTGTTTTGTTGTGTTGTTTTATCTGGTCTAAGAAGTAGCTGTGCTGCCCTCTGCATTCCAAGTGTTACTAACTGACAGAAAATTAAACACACTGAATTTGAATGAAACAGAATCATCAGCCCTTTTTTTTTGTTGTCCTCTCTCAACTCTGCAGGACGAGTGGGAACACAGCAGTAATGGCAGCACAGGTTCCAGGCCCAGTTCGGGGTCTAGACCAGGTTCTGGCTCACGCTCTGGCAGCAGAGGCAGAAACAACCAGTTCAAAGGCCCTGCCAAGGTACAGATACACCTGTGCGTGTATTTGTCTGCTGTTCATGCGTCTCTTACTTGCTACAACATCCCCTAAGTGTTCCTTCAGTGATCACCTCTGCAAGAAATTAATGGGAGAGACAATATCTGTCTTTATGAGACTTTGAGTGACCAGTATACTTCAGTCACATGACTCCTGCCATGCTCATTGTATTGTTCCCCTTGGGAGTCTTTACCCTTCTTTGATCATGAGCACATAAACATATCACCGCAAATCAACTCTTCATCATTGTTAAATGTTAAACTCCACCGATTTTGAACATGTAGGTCGATTTTTTAGAGAAAACATTTGTCCCAAGCTCGGCTTGTGAAGCATGAAAGACCAGAACATTCTCAGGCAAGGAAGGTCAAATGACTGATGCATCATGGGAAATGTAGGATCCAATGATTTTTGGAGCTTGACCTACAATAGGGACTACAAGTCAGGATATTTCTGCCTCTGCTGCACCTCTTTTGACTACTCTTTTTTTCTTTTTCTTTTTTTATTTGTTTCTGCAAGCCCCCCCAACTTATCTCTGCAAGCTCCCCGACTTTCTGGAAGTGTAGTGCGAAGTTGGTAGGCGACCCTTTGAATCAACAACATAAATACTGAAGGAAAATTGTAGGCGTAAAGAGGCTATACTAAAAAGGAATTTACTTTTTAAGAATAGTAGTCGCAGTGGTGTACTTGTTTATAGATATTAAATACAAGGCAAGTATGTGATGATTTGGTAAGAGGCGTTTTGTAGTCATACTGAAAATATCCATCTTGCTTTTCCTTGTGTGCTGTTTTAGAACGGGAACAGAGACGGCTCCTTTGACATCCTGGGCACAGACATATGGGCTGCCAACACAATGGACTCACATGGGTAAGTGCCTTGCTGTCTCACAAACCTAAGATGTTGTACAGTCTACTGAGTCTGAATTCCAACCATAGTTTCTGGAGGTCATATGACAGAATAAGACAAACAAGAAGTCTCTTAGCTTTTGCCTCTTGCTCTCATACTTTGTAACAGTCCTTTATTTACTTTGGTTGCTCTTCTCTGTCCTTCACTTCTACAATTGCGTTTTTTAATTTGAGGACAGCTATCCAAATTTTGTATCAGATTTGGCCTGATTAGCCAAAGACAGTATTTCCCAGATTTGACATCAAGACCCAGCTCATTTCTGGGATTTATTGGGGGGAGCCAAAGGAATACATATCAACATGAAATGTATCATCTTAATCTTAGGCGCTGGCTAAGCCAGCTCTGTCTCTTCATTCCAAACTCACTTTAAGTTACTGCAGACACTGAGCTTCTTACACTGCTGGTGTTTCTTCTGATGAAAAGCATTTTGTTTCAGTGTTTCAGCCAAAAGCCACATTTCTATTACACCTAACCATTGGAGCCCTGCCTGCGTTCTCTGAAAACCTTAATGCTTAAAATCTTGTTAGTTTTACTCAATTTAGACCTGAGTGTAGATCTTTAACAAATCTTGTTCAACTTCAGTGTGACTAAATGATTTTTCAAACAAGAGCTGGATCTGAAACTTGGAGGAGAAAAAAAAGGGAAAAAGAGGAAGTGAGTGGCACATAAATCAGTTGCACTGAGGTGGGGAGTGGGTGGGGGGGACTGGTTCCTATGGTAACAGCTGCACGGCAGCTTCAGATACCTAGGTTCCGGCCACGTTGGCACATGTGAGCACACAGTGAATGAGTCGGCACAGTGGGATGATGTAAGAAACTCCCCCCTCACGCAGACAGAGATGTAGAGTAGTATAGATTGAATACTGAATGAAAACTGACATTGATAATTAATTAGGAGTCATTTCTAGTTAAACTATGAGAAACAAATGGCCTTGCAATTGAAAGGTTTGCTGTGGCCTAATGTGTCTGTGAGAGGCGTCCACTAAATGGGTGTAACATTTCCTTTTGAGGAACAATTGATAGATTGCATAAGATTAAGAATGCATATTATTAAAATACCATAACAGAGCTCAATCTACAAACACATATTTCCAAGTTTTGAATTATGTGTTATGAGTTATGTCAAATTGCATAACGTATTTCTTACTTTTTGAAGAAAATAAGCATTTGATATGTCAGCTGATGTTAGAGTATTACAGTGGAAAGTAACTAAGTACATTAACTCAAGTACTGTACTTAAGTACAGTTCTCAGGTACTTGTACTTTGCTTGAGTATTTACATTTTATGCTACTTTGTACTTCTACTGCACAACATTTCAGAAGGAAATATTGTACTTTTTACTCAACTTACTTTCATATAACAGGTAAATTTTAGTTACTAGTTTCTTTTCAAATTAAGATTTAACATGTACAAGTGATCAGTTGATACATGACGCATCATTACAGATTAATATACAATACCAGTTGAGTAAATTTTGTTGCTAATACCTTTACTTACTGTACTTAATTGTACCTACGTACGTACATGTAAGAAAAAAGTCTGTGTTTAAAATGTAGAAAGTTGTCTTGTATGCCTTTTCTTTCTTTCCTTGTTTGTATGCATGGTGCTGGCTGTCTCTAACCTTTGGTCTGTCTCTTTGTCTCTGTATTAAAGGGGTGCAGGTTGGGATGTGCAGCCAGAGAAACTGGACTTCAGCCACTTCCACAGGAAACACTTAAGAGGAACGCCAAAGCACCTGCCACATATTGACAGAGAGGGGTAAGATATGAGCTTTGGGTATAAGGTTTTTATCTGCAGTATTTGATCCTGCTGGTGTTGCTTTGCTATGTCACATAATTTGCTCTCATTACTCCATATTGTCTCAGTTAATGTCTTTAGAATTGTCCTCTGTCACTATTGATCCGATTCGTGTCAGTGTCATCCCAGAGGGTGACAGTTCATTGATTGTCTCTCTCTGTCTCATTTCCTCTCTGTCAGAATGAATAAAAACAAGTTTGAGGAGGATGACGGCATAGACATGAATGACATAGAGAGGTTCCTACCCCATCTGTGCTCTGTAAGTCACTAATTTTTCCCTTTTTGTGTAAGTGGGTATAGCAACTGCATTGATTTGACACAGTGGGCTATCACCTGTAGACAGAAAGCCTCTCTCCATCAGTTGTCAGAGAGCGACCTCTTGTGGCATAATGGAAAAATGCAACTGGTGCACTGAGCATAGCAACGGTGCTGTTGACAGGCTCAAAGCAAAGTCACTAAAATATGAAACAGCACTGTAATAAATAAAAGCAGGGATCAACTTTCCTGCTGTAGAAGAAAAATTAATGTCTTTTTTTTTGTTTAAGAGCTTTTAATACAAGACCAGTCTGTAGAAGGTAGATTAGTTACAAATGAGACTGATTGACCATAAATGAACCTTTGGTGACATCTACTGGGCAGTTGTTAAAGTGAGCTGTAACTGAAATGAGAAGTGGATAAAAGATGTTATACTGACCCCTGGTGGTTATATGTTTGAACAACAGTTAAGGTTTGAGCCAAATATATACTCTACGTAGTTTATTGGCTTCACCAAGCTAAAACTAATGGAGTTTAATGCATGAGTCCTGCAATAAGTCCTCTCTTCAGGAAGGTTAAAATGTTCAGTTTTTATTTAAATTGTTTTAGAGAAACGTTGATTCAACTGTGTAGAGAATGTTGTTTGTGGTGCTGTTGAACTCTAGTGCATTACACAGAGAGGTGTTTCTGTCATTTAGCCTGCCCTCATTGATAGAAAATAATAGAAACACCTGTCTGTATAACACAATACAATTCAACTGCACCACATACTGCAGCCTCCAAAATGACTATACAGTTGAATCAGCACCCCTCTAAAACAGTTTCAGTACAAACAGAATGCAAAATCAGGAGAGTATGACTGCCATGAGGGGAGGATCTATTGCAGAACTGTTGCATTAGACAGCATTAGTTTAAGCTAGGTGTACCGAATAAACTGCCAACTGAGTGTATCTACAGGGAAGCGATGTAGGTTGTTGCTTTCTGAGGCAGTGGTTGTTTTTTTTTTTTAAATCAGTTTCAATCTTTAACAGCTTTTGAGCTCAATGTAAAGGATAGTTTCACACTTTTTTAAGTCTTGCTCAAAGCAACATTCACATACACTGTAAAAGTTGTTTAAAAGTTGCTGCAATAATTCCACCTCTCCGCAATGAGAACAGCCCTTCCCAACACGATCCCAGTCTGCAAAATCCCCAGTCCTGTTTTGTGTTCTTTAATTCAGATGAAACTAATAAGAGGCTACTACAGTCTGAGTTAGACCAATCATGGAGGTGTTTTCCACTATGATCTTTTCAGTATAAAATTCCCCCTTCTTGTTTCCCCAGACAAAGTTTCTGTACTGAGTTTCAGCAGACAGATAGGAAAAAGAAAAGTGTGAGTTTTGTAATAAAAAAGTGGAAATACCCACTTGATTTGTTTAGCTCAGACTTAAAGTCACTGGCTGACAGTTTGGAGGCACAGAATGCTTCTGTAATGTGCAAATATGCCCTTAGTACTTGTGTTTTACAGTGCAAAAGGCCTATTAGCCTACAACTTCCTAATTTCATTATAATCCATTTCTGAGGATGATGTATCTGCCACCAACAAAGTGAAATTAATTTTGCAGTTGTTTATGCCATTGCATGGTACAAGGTAATAAGCATTGTGTTTTCCAAGGCGAATTGTGATTTATAGAGGTGGCAGAGTTCATTATAGGTCAGTGATGTCACCCTTCTCTCTTCCTGCCCTGCTTTCTGAGCCAAGATGTCTTCCATCTTTCATAGCATTTTAGCTACAGTGTCTTCCTCTTTCCTTCCCCTCTTGGCTTCTGAGCCGAGCTGCATTTCCCCTCTCATAGGGTTTCATCCATGATGGGCCTAGTTGCACTACCAAGATGACTTCCGCATTGCATAGTTCCTGAGCCAACATTGCCTTTTCCGTTCATTCAGTTAGGGCCAAAAGAAAGATGGGGTCAACTGTGTCTGTCTGGTTCGCTTGGGATCGGACATGTGTTGGCACTGGGACATAGTGAGGTCAGATACACAGTGCTGGGGAGTGAGCGCCACATTTTCTGTCTTTCCCTCAAATTCCTGAGCTGTTTCTGACTTTCACCATCCTCACACAGTCTCTCTTTCACCTTCTGTCTGTACTAAGCATCATGCCCAGAGCCATGAAGCGGTGATGCCAGGCCACAGATGCCTAGTTGTTTCTTGTTTTAATGACAGGAACCTCTTTGGTCTTGAATGTCCCCCAAGACAACTGGGCGGGCGCTTAAGTTTCCATTTTCTACTTGGCCAGTAGTTTTAGAGAAGCCACACTGTAGAATAAAACAGTCAAACCACAGTCATTATAAACTTCAGCTGACCTGAAGTAGAGTGGTTTGGAGACCAGAGTATGTAGAAATGGCACAGCTAATAAATAAAAAGAAAAAATGAACTCCATTTTAAGTCATTAATCAAAGTTTCACTTTTTAGAGGGAGTAGAGCTGAAAGAATTAGTCGATCAATTGGTCAGTCGATCCACATAAAAATAATTAGCAATTATTTTGATAATCAATTAAGTGTTTCACTCATTTTTCAAGCATAATTATCTGGTTTTCTTAGTCTTCTATGATATCAAACTCTTATCTTTTGGTATTTGACTGTTGGTCAGACAAAACAAGACACATGAATATGTCAACTTGGACTAGAAAACTTCTTTTTTTTTTTTTTTACAATTTTCTGTCATTTTGTTGAAGATTGGTTAATTAATCAATCAAGAAATCAATCAACAGCTTCATCAATAAGGAAATATTCATTAGATGCAGCCCTAAAGGGCAGTCTTTTGTAATATCTACGGTTGATTCTTCTTTATTTCATGTACGCTGTGAAGCTGTGGTATATAGGAAAATGTCGGATTGGAACTCTGTATGGGCAGGTGCTCAGTGGTAAACAAAATCACATGCAAATCACACTTCACACTAAAAGAGGATATGCTGTGGTCATTACGATTTCACTGTGTGTGTGTGTGGGGGCGAGTGAGAGAGTTTGTTTTGCATTAGAAAATGTCGGTATCATGGTTTAATGCTCAGTGTTGATGCTGAACGCCCTGTATGTCTATTAGGATCTCTCCTCTCTGCTGGCACTTTCACTTTTGTCGGACATACATCTCCTGACTGTAGCCACAACAATATTATGTGGCCTGGGAATTTTATTTGTTGCTGTGAAAACTCATGACTGGCTGTCATGTCTCACTTGTTAGCTCGTGGCAGTGGTGGAATGTTCTCTCCAATTAATCATCTCACAACCCCTCAGATTTATCTGTCTCTAGAAGGGCCTGACCCCTAGATTGAGAACCACTGGACTAAACTACTTAACTCTATATAAAGTAGATAAAATAGGTCCACCTACAGCAGCTACATCAATGAAATGTTATTTACTTTCTCAGGGCACCTTTTTACCACAGAACTGTCACATTCATTTTTGATGGTTTGACTACATTTTGCTGTTAAAACATGTGTTGTGTACTTGGGTTTGAATGCAGGAATTTATTTACTTGTAATGGAGTATTTTTACATCATGGCACTGGTGCTTTTACTAAAGTAAAGGATCTGAATACATCTTCCAAGATTTACTTGTGCATTACAGATTTTACTGTTTCTAAGAAGATAACATTTGTTTTATCATAAAAATTACTATACAGCATTCATGCAAACATAAGCCATGTAACCAAGCAACAATAACACGTCTCTTTTCCCCAGTCATTGCCTCCAGCTACTGTATAGCAGGGCTACATCATCCACTTCCTACCAACACTCACTTCCCCTTTCCAGGAGCCAGAATAGATTTACAAATAGCCCTGGGATGCGGAAAACATCTCGTGTGTGTGTGTGTGTGTGTGTGTGTGTGTGTGTGTGTGTGTGTGTGTGTGTGTGAGAGCAACTTGGTAAGAATGGGCTTCCTCCTTTCACCCTCTGATGCTGCTGAACCTCTACTGGCCTCTCTGGAATGTCAAGCTGCACATACAATAACCCTGCCCTCACGTCCAGAGTCAGGTCGTAATGACAGAAGCATTCAGGGGTCATAGAGCAAGTATTTGATCTGAGTATCACATGGATCCGGAGTAATAATATGAATACCATTAGTATTACCTAATAATATTCAGAAATTGGTTTATTTGTATAGCACTTTGGCAATCCATTTTACCCAAAATCAACAATTAAAACAAAGATAGAAATAAAATAAATTAAGAAAAAAATAAACAAAAAATGTAGAAATAGACAGCTTATAATATATCATGACATATCAAAGGTAAAACACAAATTAAGGCAGAAAGTTTGATAGACCGTTCAGTAAAAACGAATTCAGATGTTCAGATATTAATGATGACAAGAAATATTATACAAAATAGACAGATTTCTAATTAATTCTCTACTCTAGCTATAACGATTAGTTTTCGTTTCACTTTGTCAAATGTGAATGTTTGCTGGTGTCTTTAGTCTTTTAGGATTGTAAAGTGAATATCATTGGGTTTCAAGCTGGTGAGACAAAATTTGACTTTTGAAAGACATTTTCAAGATGTCACCTTTGGCTTCGGGAGGCATTTTGTAGACCAGATGATTAATCAACTATTTGAGAAAATAATCAACAGATTAATTGATAATTAATATAATCCTTAGTCACAGCCCTGGTCTTCTGTTTTAAAGTCAAACTTTTCCCTGATGACAATGCAAACTGCTGATTTGATAATGTTGACTAGTTCTTTAAGAATGTCCGGCACCAGAGAAGGAACAGCAGGAGAGGGTGAGACCAAGGAAAGAGGGAGAAAGCGGCTAGTCACTGAGGAGACATCCGGTCTCTGGTGTGTGGACAAAGCTGTCCAACACGGGGAACAAAGCAGGAGTCTGAAGCTTAGATATTACAGACTGGTCGGCCCCTCTGTCTGGAAGTGTACGTGCCGCAGAGCAGGACTCGGGTTGAGAAGGGACATTGGGGGGGCGGGGTGGGCTTTTTTGGTGGTCTGTCAGCTGTCAGTTTGTGTGAGACCTGC